ACCTCTATATATATATATATATCTATATTTATATATATATTTATACTGAGTTGTTAATCGATACTGTCAACGACTTTATAAAGTTGATGATAACAATTACACAAAAAAAATCACCCAGAAAAATAAGATTTCCTTTCTATTATCATAATTTTTCTTTTTAATCCATCTTTCATTTTACATAGCAAAATGCAGATGTAACAAGGCTATCCTCTTACCGACCTAAGAATATTCACTGCTTTTATAACTGAAATAAAATGTATAGGAACGCGATCATCCGTAAGTGCGGAGTTTGCGGAAAACAATTAATTAAAAGAGAAAAACCTCTCTGCCGGAATCGGATATGAGAATAAAACTCGACTGATGAAATTCCGAAATAACTTTTACCTTCGGCTAATAGTAAAAAAAACAACGGTTTAATGTTTTTCGAAATTTAAAGAATTCGTTTAATGTATACGAACTGGTATCTTAGATTTAAATTAACAAGGCCGATGCGTTAATTTAGAGTCCGCACGGGTCGCGACACCTCCCGTCTTAATTACGCAACTCATTGAAAACGTTTAAATATGCATAATGAATTTCCTGCGTACACTTATACTACATAACGCCGGCAATAAATCTTAATTTTCTCTCTTCTGTCGAAATCGGTCTACACGAGTATTATCTCTTGTCTGTATTCGACTCCACTTAAAAAATTCAAAACGTGCAGATAAGTCGGGAATTCTAAAATTTTATAGTAACTACCCTGGCGTAATTCAATGACTACGGCAATTTAAATACCTGTACATAAATATGTACTGTATTATTTCATCATTGCTTTGTCTATTTCTACATACTGTACAAGGAAGTTTTTTTTTTAAGATTTTTAGAAGACACAAAAATACTTATTGTCAAGGTCTGTAAGAAGTAAATAAAACTGCGCCTTAATAATAATCGCTTAATCGAATAAATTATCATTTTTCCAACGATAAACAATAAAAATTACATGTAAAACTCGGCCGCTATTAAACGTCGAACACCCCCTCCATTAAGTTATATGAACTATATCATTTCCTCTCGAGCTTCCTTTTTTACGAATATCCTCTTCCCTATAAAAATTTATCAGATCAAATTCGTTTTTGTCATTTTAAATCTATCTCTGACTCGAATTTTTATAATTTTTTTGAAGGAAAAATAATTCGTACGACTCGATTAACCACGGAAATAAATTAATTACTATATTTGTCACAGAGTTTTACTTTAGTACTTTATTTAACCTTAAATTAAAATAAAAGCTCTAAAAATTAATTCTTAAAAATAGTTCTATATCATATTCATACAGTTGTCGATAATAGTCATAAAAAAAATTTATCTTTAACTTCACTAAAAATATTTTAAAATGAATAAAATTCTATGTTAATAACCTATTTTTTTTCTTTCATAATTTATCTTTTAAATAAGCAGAAAATCAATTGATTTCTAGAAAAGTTATATATATATATGATACACATATATATCAGGAAACATCAATCAGGTATAAATAAGGAAACACCAGGCTACTGAATTTAATATGTGAAACAATCTAGAATTACAAGGTGAAGCTTAGATATATTAAATTTCGACAAGTATGCAATACTGATAAAATTTGACAATTACCTTACTGTAAAGCGGATTAAATAGTAATCTTGATTTACGCATGGGGTAATTCCGCCCTTAACATAAACGCACGAGGAACCAATGCAAGCTCGGCGCGGCTTTCGTTTAAGTGCGGACAACTTCTAAATTTCGATTATTGGTCACTTAAAGTAGTTCACCGATAATTATTCCCCACTGATTACTCAACCTAATCTTAATTGTTTCAAAAAAACTTTAAAAACTACTACAAATTTATTATTATTATTTTTTTTTATATGCATAAATGCTACCGTTTCTATTTTTAAATACTCTGGACAGAAAACGACAACTTAAATTTAAAAAAGAATTTCGTGTACTTAGCCCAAAACTATTTAACCGTAAAATAATTGCACGACAAGTAAATGCCGACCTTTTTTTTCTTTTATATTTTTTAAAATATATCCTAGTAATTGATTAAATGATATTTTTATAGATATTAACATCGTGCGAATGACAGGTACAAATGTAATTTTATGAGATTGTTGTTGGAATAAATGGGCGGTTTACTCTCCGAGTTCCGTAATTTTAAACCGCTTCCCACGTCACGGGTTTTCAGATATTATATATATATATATATAAAAGAAATACGACAGAACTATTAAAAAATATATAAAAGACAACCTAAAATATAAACATATTATGTTCGGCATGAACGAACTTAGCATGAATGATTAAACCACACCCAAAACATTAAAGAGCATTGTTTAAATTTCTGCTTTTGAACATCTAAATTTAGGATCTAATAAATCAAATAATATATGAATAATTCGGAAACTTACTTCCTCCTGTCTCGACCAAACTGACGGCATGAGAGAGTACATCCAAAGGGGTTTCGGCAGCCATGAATTCTACCTGAAATAAGCATTTGATAATTTCAACCTAATTTGTATAAATTAGATTACAAAATAAAAAAATTGAATTAAAAAAAAAAAAGTTATTTGAGCATTAAAATATAACTATTATAACAGAAAAAATTTTATAATTTTTTAACCTACTTAAGTAAATATATGTTTAGAAAAAGCAGTTTGCAGATATCTTTAGAATTGTACCTACTATTGTTATTGTTGATAGTTCTGATAATTGTGTGATAAACATTAAAGAATTGTGATAAGAAGGAAAATTGCCATTGAAAGGCAACATATTTAAATATTCGAGTTCTGCTCTCGCATTTAAAACTAGAATTTGAAGAATTGATCATAATTTAAACAGAAATTTAATTATTATATTGTTTAAACAGTCATTATAATGTTATTAGTATCTAATTCAAACAAAATATATATATATATGTAGCACTTCATTATAAAATTTGTGAGAAAGTCTACTAACTTATTAACAATATTAAGAAAGAAGCGGCACAGACAGTATAGGCACTGTCAATTTTTATCCCCTGGACAAACCAGATATCCATTAAAAATGATGCTAGGTGGGCCTCACAGTTGCAGTAGACTCTAGACCTAACTAGAAATTAAACCCCCTCTTTCCCAATCTGGAACCAGTCCCTGTACTAACTCTGCTACTGCAGCTGCAATTACATAATGTACTTAACAATAAAAATGACTTTTACTATACTAGAACTTTGCTCTGTTTCTTTTTAAAAAAATGACATCTGCAAAAAAAAAAACAATATCAAGTTTGCTCCAAGGTTTCTGTCTGTTTGACACTTGTTGGTGGGAATGGCTCATCTTTATATATATATATATATATATATATATATATATATTTATACTGAGTTGTTAATCGATACTGTCAACGACTTTATAAAGTTGATGATAACAATTACACAAAAAAAATCACCCAGAAAAATAAGATTTCCTTTCTATTATCATAATTTTTCTTTTTAATCCATCTTTCATTTTACATANGTTTTTTTTTTTTTTTTACATTTTGAAACTTTTACATCCATAATAGTTTGCACAAGACGTCCGTCGATACTACTGCACTACTATAGTAATATGTATATCCTACAATTACATAAAACGATAATAGAACCAACAAACAATTATTACACCCTGTGCTGTTATTTGGCTATAAAATTTACACGTAAGAGAATAACATTGATTTGATGTTATTATTAAGCGTGAGCAAAATAAAGTTTGTACTCTTTTTTTTTTCTCTCTCTCTCTCTCTCTCTCCTCGTTTGCAGACGGCAGAAAAACAAACAAAATAAAAAAAAATGCAGTACGTTACGGATCGAATATGCGAGGGGGTCGACGTTTGGATCGCGTCTGCTTCTAAAACTGTCGGAGTCGGGGACGACAGAGAAGGGAGCTTAATCTACACATTTATTGATATTCTCGTTTTGCACGATGACAGACAGAAGACATACATTTTTAAATGTTACTTTCTCTTCTGTTTGCAACATGAAAATTGCAACGATGGAGTCTTGATATCACAGCGAAACTACGCCCTGCGAATGAGACCTTACGGGAGAAGACGGCGGAGAGCGAGACGCTTTCTTATTTTTGGAATCCGTTCCGTTCTCGACCGAAGACGTCTTCGTCTGCTGGAGTCTCAACCACGTATCTCCCAGGGCTTTAGCGAAGTGATCGTCCACTGTTACGGATAAAAGAAATACGTTACGGGTTAACGGTACCTCCATAAAACCGAGTTCAACCATAACAATATCAGGAAGAAGGAAAGTTGATAAATGAAAATAATAAATAGTTTTAAGATTTCTCTTTAAAAACATTTGGCAATAAGGAAACTTTTGTTTTTCTTTTAACCTACTTAAACAATTTACGACAATAAGTTAATTTAAAATTCACCTGTTATCGATACGCTTGTAGAATGAGTGGAGAAAAGAAATTCCGGATAATCTTTCCCCAGAGAACGCCTGAAATGTTCGTCGATAACGGGATCACACATTCCTGAAAAATAGAAATAACTTTGTCGAGTATTTATTAAATATCAGCACGAAAATGTTTCCACGAGTAGATAATTATTAAAAGTAAATTTTCAACCTCCCTAATTTTGTGACTGGCTCGGACACATGCAATTATCTGCCATTAAGTGGAAGTTATCGTTAAATTTGTAATCGACAGCAAGGTCAAGAACCTCTATTAAAAACTCGAGCTAATTAATATTTGTCTTGACATTCTCTCCCGAACACGTATTCTTTATAATTATAACCTACGTAAGTTATAAACAATTCTTCAAAATTACGTTAATATATAATTTCCGTGAGCTTAATTACACGTGTTTTTGTTTTTAAAATGCCTGTCGTATGAATTTCTGTCTACATTTTCTAAATAAAATTTAACTAATTAACTAATTTACCAGATAACACTTCTCTCCTGTGACCGGGCCGGATGTCCTCGCCTCCGTCCGATTCGTTCTTCTCGTTTGTCTTCCCCTCGGAATTGCCGTTACAGTGAGCACTCTGACAATTAGATTTTGTGTGACACTGAGATCTCAACAATGCCGAAGCACACGTGATGACCGACGGCCTCTGCTGCTGAATGGGATGACTGTTCCCGGAAATGGGTTCGTCGTCTTGCCGTGCACACTTTTTGCTCATGTCCAAAGGTTCGTTACTGTCGTCGTCGTCGGAATCACAGGCGGCAAGGTTGATGCAGGTGACGTCCCGGTCCAGTCTCTCCGTCAGGTGAGGAGGTAGACGACAGTGGCCGCAGGGAGGCAACGCGGAACCGTCCGGTTTGTGCAACATACACGTTTCACAGTGTAGGGGAGACATCACTAGAGTCGGGCTGTTTTCACTATTTTTGCAAGGAGACATCATGACCGGTGACGTATTGTAGCACTGTCCGTTTCTCACTTCTCCATCTGGTGAGAGAATTCTGTACGGAATAAAGAAAAAATTGTAGTAAAATAATAATATTTTAAAAATTAACTAAAGGAGTTAGAAAGAAAAATGTTACACGACTGCTCGTTATCTTCTAAATATTTAAATAAAAATATCAGTCTAATTTTACAATAATTTAGATTACGAGAGAATTTTGGATAAGATAAGAATTTAATTGTATCTCGTCCGTCATCGTTAAAAGTAATCCGTCCAGAATTTACAAATATAAATATAAAAATGTAAAGAATCTATTTTATTTTTAGTATTAATAACGCTAAAAATAAAAAATTCTCGAAGGAAACGTGCCAGTAGCATTCTTTTTATCCTTATCGGCATACTTAATAGATAAAAATTCCTTAAACGTGATAATGCATCACGGTCAGACTTTCCGAAAGGTTTCAAAGTGCAAAACTCGAATTTAATAATAAATTACGCTTACTGTTGCGGAGAAGAACACTTCCTATTCCAAACTCTTAACGGCAACATGTTCGTCGAGAGTTCCCTTCTGTCTTTCAGTCTTCGGTACTTCAATTCTTTAGTCGGAAGTTCTTTCGAAGGAGAATCTCGGCAGTCGTCCATCTGATCTGCAAAACGGAAAACGCTCGTGAGACTCCCGGATATTTTAGAAAACCGGCACTTTACGTAAAGATAATGCGAGAGGCCGGCTCGACTCAATTACATTTAGTCCGGTCTAGAAGACATCGCAATCTAGCGATGCGAAGGCCTAAAAGGAAACGGTCGACTCGAAAGAATTTTTTCAGTTAAGCGAAGCACCGGTTTTAAAACGTTAAAAATTAAATTATGGTTAATTTTTAAAGGAGAAGCATTTCAGAAATTTTATAATTGAAACCGAAAAGGCATCCACGTCTCGAGACCGCCGTATTTTTATCCTCGGACAACCGGGCAGATTTTTCCACAGCATTAATTGCATGACCGAGTCTCGGGAATTTGTATTTTCGGAAGAAAAATTCCACAAAAATATTCCGGGCATCTCTAAAGGAAAAAGAAATTATTATTATCATCATCTTCGTCGTCAATAGACAAAGAATGGATTAAAAATAGAGATCCGTATTAAGAAAGACAACAGCAAACGGACCGTCCACTTTGGACTCTCCGTTCTCGACGGCAGAGGAGACGGTTGACGTGCGGCGGTCCGTCTCGGTCCTCCTTGTTAAGCTCCCAAAAATAATTCCGAGGGGAGAGGAAAAAAGAACAGACATCGGAAATTATTGCCGGATAGCTTAATTTGATTTATTCCTCGACGGAGAGGACAAACGAGACCTTTATAGTGCATACCGATGCCAGCTCTCTCTCATAAGAAAAATCAGCAGAGGATGGAGGGGGCAGCCTAAGAAAAGGAGGGGGGAGCTAACAAGTATGCAGTCGATAAAAGATTCGGAAGAGGGGAGGAGAGGAGGAGAAAAAAAAAAAAAGTCGGAGGAGGCAAGCAAGCCAAATGAATGCAATGTGGTGAAAAGAGACCAAGGGATGGAAAGTAATGCGTGGCATGTCAGGCACGTACAGTACCAAAAGTAGTCTGCACCCCTTGCCAACAGAGAGCGGTAAGTGACGACGTCAAGCGTCGCTAAGAGAAAATCGACGTAAACTACGCCTACGCGACTCTCCCGGCTAGAGGAATGATTTTAATTATATAAAGAATGCAATTTTCCGCGACTAATAGTTTCGTCGCGGGCGTGTGTTGGAAGCGCGACGCGGCGCGCCGGCGCTTTAAACGGATTGTGTAAGTACGTGACGCGTCGCACCGAAGCGAGATAAAACAGAATGAGATCGCATGCTTTCGGCTGGAACGTGCGGTGAGTCATTGGAGTCACGCTACTTAGCAGGACAACAACTGCATCCATGCGTGACGAAACAGTGGCGCCAGACCCAACCAACGATAACTTTTAAACAGGACAAAAACGTAAAATTCCCAGAGATCGCTACCGATTTCCACTTTATGGCGACTCCCCCTCCGAAATGGAAGTGGGAAGGCGATGTGTGGAAATCCGTCCGTTTTTAATGCGTAACGATTTATAATTTTTATTATTAGTTTTTTTTTTTTGCATCTCCCATTCGCGTGTTACGTTAATGGACTGCGACCGGTCGCACCGGTGTTGCGACGCCTCCATCAGCACGTGCCATTTGTCCCCTAGGCATGACTTCGGACCTAGCCCATTCCGCCGGGACAGGTAAATCCCGACGGACAATAAGGGGGAGGTACTCGTCCGTCGACCAGTCGAATTACGTCACGGGAGGGGGGTCGAAGTTCACGGATCATTCTCCTGCAAACAACCGGAGTATTCGCTTTTGGTCGTTAACCGAACCTTACGCATTACGAGTTCTAGAAAACAAAAAAAAAAAATCTATAATTCGGGCCCGTGGTCATTTATGAGTCATACGTCGATGTGTTTTTAAATGGGTCAAGGAGAATGAACCAAGTGTTTTCTGTACGGAACCGACTGCACCGCTTCCAATTCGCCTTATAGCAATTCTATATTGTTACAAAGGACGACGTCACAGGCAATAAAACCGAAGCGACTAATAAACGAAAAGGGGGGAGCCGCGTTTTTGAAGAGATGGGTGGTGCAGACACCGTCCTTTCACAAAGTTTTCTTCTGGATGGGATGGTCCACCGACCACTTCTTTTCGTACTGCAGTAATTAAGGGGTAGTTCCCGGAAATTACCATCTCTAATCGACGGGTACTTGCTTAAAAAATATTATATATAAAAAAAAAAAATTCCTCCCCCTTCCACCTTTAATAATCGACGTGAGGTACAGACTGGGGGTGCGATGTCTGGAAATGGCCGTCCNCTATATTTATATATATATTTATACTGAGTTGTTAATCGATACTGTCAACGACTTTATAAAGTTGATGATAACAATTACACAAAAAAAATCACCCAGAAAAATAAGATTTCCTTTCTATTATCATAATTTTTCTTTTTAATCCATCTTTCATTTTACATAGCAAAATGCAGATGTAACAAGGCTATCCTCTTACCGACCTAAGAATATTCACTGCTTTTATAACTGAAATAAAATGTATAGGAACGCGATCATCCGTAAGTGCGGAGTTTGCGGAAAACAATTAATTAAAAGAGAAAAACCTCTCTGCCGGAATCGGATATGAGAATAAAACTCGACTGATGAAATTCCGAAATAACTTTTACCTTCGGCTAATAGTAAAAAAAACAACGGTTTAATGTTTTTCGAAATTTAAAGAATTCGTTTAATGTATACGAACTGGTATCTTAGATTTAAATTAACAAGGCCGATGCGTTAATTTAGAGTCCGCACGGGTCGCGACACCTCCCGTCTTAATTACGCAACTCATTGAAAACGTTTAAATATGCATAATGAATTTCCTGCGTACACTTATACTACATAACGCCGGCAATAAATCTTAATTTTCTCTCTTCTGTCGAAATCGGTCTACACGAGTATTATCTCTTGTCTGTATTCGACTCCACTTAAAAAATTCAAAACGTGCAGATAAGTCGGGAATTCTAAAATTTTATAGTAACTACCCTGGCGTAATTCAATGACTACGGCAATTTAAATACCTGTACATAAATATGTACTGTATTATTTCATCATTGCTTTGTCTATTTCTACATACTGTACAAGGAAGTTTTTTTTTTAAGATTTTTAGAAGACACAAAAATACTTATTGTCAAGGTCTGTAAGAAGTAAATAAAACTGCGCCTTAATAATAATCGCTTAATCGAATAAATTATCATTTTTCCAACGATAAACAATAAAAATTACATGTAAAACTCGGCCGCTATTAAACGTCGAACACCCCCTCCATTAAGTTATATGAACTATATCATTTCCTCTCGAGCTTCCTTTTTTACGAATATCCTCTTCCCTATAAAAATTTATCAGATCAAATTCGTTTTTGTCATTTTAAATCTATCTCTGACTCGAATTTTTATAATTTTTTTGAAGGAAAAATAATTCGTACGACTCGATTAACCACGGAAATAAATTAATTACTATATTTGTCACAGAGTTTTACTTTAGTACTTTATTTAACCTTAAATTAAAATAAAAGCTCTAAAAATTAATTCTTAAAAATAGTTCTATATCATATTCATACAGTTGTCGATAATAGTCATAAAAAAAATTTATCTTTAACTTCACTAAAAATATTTTAAAATGAATAAAATTCTATGTTAATAACCTATTTTTTTTCTTTCATAATTTATCTTTTAAATAAGCAGAAAATCAATTGATTTCTAGAAAAGTTATATATATATATGATACACATATATATCAGGAAACATCAATCAGGTATAAATAAGGAAACACCAGGCTACTGAATTTAATATGTGAAACAATCTAGAATTACAAGGTGAAGCTTAGATATATTAAATTTCGACAAGTATGCAATACTGATAAAATTTGACAATTACCTTACTGTAAAGCGGATTAAATAGTAATCTTGATTTACGCATGGGGTAATTCCGCCCTTAACATAAACGCACGAGGAACCAATGCAAGCTCGGCGCGGCTTTCGTTTAAGTGCGGACAACTTCTAAATTTCGATTATTGGTCACTTAAAGTAGTTCACCGATAATTATTCCCCACTGATTACTCAACCTAATCTTAATTGTTTCAAAAAAACTTTAAAAACTACTACAAATTTATTATTATTATTTTTTTTTATATGCATAAATGCTACCGTTTCTATTTTTAAATACTCTGGACAGAAAACGACAACTTAAATTTAAAAAAGAATTTCGTGTACTTAGCCCAAAACTATTTAACCGTAAAATAATTGCACGACAAGTAAATGCCGACCTTTTTTTTCTTTTATATTTTTTAAAATATATCCTAGTAATTGATTAAATGATATTTTTATAGATATTAACATCGTGCGAATGACAGGTACAAATGTAATTTTATGAGATTGTTGTTGGAATAAATGGGCGGTTTACTCTCCGAGTTCCGTAATTTTAAACCGCTTCCCACGTCACGGGTTTTCAGATATTATATATATATATATATAAAAGAAATACGACAGAACTATTAAAAAATATATAAAAGACAACCTAAAATATAAACATATTATGTTCGGCATGAACGAACTTAGCATGAATGATTAAACCACACCCAAAACATTAAAGAGCATTGTTTAAATTTCTGCTTTTGAACATCTAAATTTAGGATCTAATAAATCAAATAATATATGAATAATTCGGAAACTTACTTCCTCCTGTCTCGACCAAACTGACGGCATGAGAGAGTACATCCAAAGGGGTTTCGGCAGCCATGAATTCTACCTGAAATAAGCATTTGATAATTTCAACCTAATTTGTATAAATTAGATTACAAAATAAAAAAATTGAATTAAAAAAAAAAAAGTTATTTGAGCATTAAAATATAACTATTATAACAGAAAAAATTTTATAATTTTTTAACCTACTTAAGTAAATATATGTTTAGAAAAAGCAGTTTGCAGATATCTTTAGAATTGTACCTACTATTGTTATTGTTGATAGTTCTGATAATTGTGTGATAAACATTAAAGAATTGTGATAAGAAGGAAAATTGCCATTGAAAGGCAACATATTTAAATATTCGAGTTCTGCTCTCGCATTTAAAACTAGAATTTGAAGAATTGATCATAATTTAAACAGAAATTTAATTATTATATTGTTTAAACAGTCATTATAATGTTATTAGTATCTAATTCAAACAAAATATATATATATATGTAGCACTTCATTATAAAATTTGTGAGAAAGTCTACTAACTTATTAACAATATTAAGAAAGAAGCGGCACAGACAGTATAGGCACTGTCAATTTTTATCCCCTGGACAAACCAGATATCCATTAAAAATGATGCTAGGTGGGCCTCACAGTTGCAGTAGACTCTAGACCTAACTAGAAATTAAACCCCCTCTTTCCCAATCTGGAACCAGTCCCTGTACTAACTCTGCTACTGCAGCTGCAATTACATAATGTACTTAACAATAAAAATGACTTTTACTATACTAGAACTTTGCTCTGTTTCTTTTTAAAAAAATGACATCTGCAAAAAAAAAAAAAGAAAGAAAGAAAGAAAACAAATAAGCTGATTCGACAGAAAACAGAAATCTTTCAATGAAAAAAAAAACAATTCGGATTTTCAACCTACAAAATTTTAAGCGCAATACCGATATTAAAATTAAATAAAGAAATATTACTTTGTTGTTTTAAGATATCGTTTTAAAATTTTAATATAAAACTATGGGAAATTTTTCCGAGGAAAATTTCGTATTTTATGGCCGAATAATTTTAACGAGCAATCGTAAGCGTAAAGTATAAACATAATATATAATTTTCTTTAACTTTTGACTTTTTAATGCGCTTCATTTATTTAATATAATTTAAAATATGACCAAAAGAAAAGAAAAGAAAAGAAAAATATTTCTAGACATTTCTTCACATAAACCATGACAAAACATCAAATTCTTAAGATTTTATATCTGGGCAAAAATCACTAACAGGAAAATCAATAACAAACTTCATAATCAAATCTTATATATAAAATAAATTAAAGAATATATATATATATATATATAAAAAAAAAAAACAAATATTTAAGTGGTAACATCAAATAAAATAGAATAAGCTCTTATATTAAAATTGCTATCTGATGATTATTAAATAAGGAATGATGACGTAACGTCCAAAATATATTTAAAAGAATTTTTCCTTTCGTTCAATCGTCGTGTTTTATTTAATAATTAAAAATTACATAACTTAGTACTAGATAAACTACATTCTTCACAGTCATAGATACTACAGATAATATCTAAAGCATGGAATTTTTATTAATTAAATCAGAACAGAAGATGCAAACAATTTTTTTTATACTAACAAAACAAAAATTTTAATCCCGGTATAGAATTTACAGTTGTTATTATGCGAGAATATTTCTTAAACTTTATAAGAAAAAC